TAAACTTATACTTTTTATTTTTGTGAAAGATTACATAATATAAATAGTTTTCTTTTTATAAAATAATTTCCTGTTTATACTTCAAACAAAAAAAGAAAAATAGAAAATAGAATAGAAATGAAGAAATAATTATTTTTAAATATTTAGAAAATAGTTTCATTTTTTATTTCATTTTTTATTATTCTTATTTATTACCAATACCAATAATATTAAAGTTTATGAATTATTCTAGAAGATATTAATTACTTGAATTCAATAATAAGAATTCACAAAATTGGCATGGAATAAATAATAAAATACTACTTAAAAAAAATTAAGATATGAATTGGGGTTTGTCTTGCAAGAATAACCACATCCTACAAAGAACAACACAAGAAAGACATACAGACCACAAGCGACATTTCAAGTTTGCCAATTAATTATGATTATGCAATTATTAAAATATTCTTTGCTCAAATGAAAAATGGTCTATAATGGTTTCAAATTATGAATAGTACAAAGAAAAATTTTATCCCAATTTTCTATAAAAAAAAAACCCAGAGAAGTTACAAAACAAAAGTGAAGAAAATAAAAATAAAAATAAAAAATAAAGAAATTATTATAAAAATCAAATATGAACAATCAAAAAAACAAGAATTATATCATGATGATCAACAAAATATTTCCACTTATAAAGGAGAAAATGGATGACCATGATATAGCAAATGATCATAAATTGTTTGGAAAAATAACAAATACTAAAATACATATTAAGAATGAATTTTAAAAAAATAATTAATGAAGATTTAAAGAAAATTATATTGAATTAAATGTTAATTAATGCTTTAATTGACATACTTGATACTTACATCCTTAATATTTACCTAGTGATCCATTTTTTTTAATAAAAGAAACAGACAAACTTTAAAAATCAATTAAGTAATTCGTAAATTTATTCAGATTCATTTTAAATTAAATTAGATATATTAATAGCGAAATTCCTTATTCTCTTGACTCTTGATTGATAATGCTCAAAAAATTAAGAATAATGCTTTAAGCTTTTTCTTTTGAAAATTGGGATGATGAGACCTTCATAAATCCACTTACCAGCTGTGAAGTGGTGACTTTAATTAATTGCAATAAATTATTTACCATCCAAGAAATGAAATAGTTAATTCTCATTTCTTTCCAAAAACGTAATTTAATGATAATTTTAGCACTTCAAGCGAAAAATCATAGTAATAGTTTATAATTTAACAATAATTTTTAATTTTTTTTCATATTTTTCTTTTCCATTTTTTTATTTTTTTTTTAACTCATGATTGGGGAATTACTTGAAACATTTTTTTTTTATCTTGGAGAAAAATATTTTAGATATAAATACAATATATATAAAATGAACATGAACAATAAAAAAAAATGAAAACACAATAATTTAAGACACATTTGACTTATTATGTATCATCCAAAATACATAATATCATCATCATTGTAAATTCAACTAATAATTTTGAAGAAAATATAGAACCACAACAATCATCAAATTTAAATAATAATTTTTAAGAAAATACAAAAAGATGGTATTCTGACTGCAAGTGAACATTCCTTTTGGAATATTTCAGAACTCAAATCAGGAAAGAAACATGACAATACCACTAATTTATGTAATAATTAATCGCACAATCTATCCATTTTTCTGGATATAGATTTCATTCATTACAAATTCTTTTAAGTAGATTAACTTTATTACATTGAGGATTATTAATTTTTATCATTTTAAAATTTCCAACAAGATTTATTATACAGAATAGTCGCAGCAACTAAGAAACGGCACAGTTTTTGCTCATTCTGATCAAATGCTGTCTCATAAATGAGGCAAGAGACTACAGACTTTATTTTTCAAGTCATTCAAGTAATTGGTGGATTCTTTAAATTTTGCAATTAGATTAGGCAATTGTGAACTACATCTTTATAACACTTCTTATATCAATACTATATCTTTATATTTCACTTTTTCGAATATTACATTTCTCTTCTCCAATATCACATCTACACCTTATTAATGGCTTTTTTTTCAAAGTTTATTAAACTAATTCAAAAAAAAATTAGTAATTATCTAAAAAATTTGAAATAATCAATCACAAACAATATATAAATTTTAATCTTGAATCAAGTAAAAGAAATCTATTTCACACATCAAGACAAGATAATTGTCTAGGGTTATTTTTGAGTGGGAGTCACTGGGAAAATAAATTAAGCAAGCCACCTTAATGCATTGTAATGACAGACTGCAGATGCCGTAATTATTTTACCAAACCACAAGATATCATTATTGTCAAAATGACTTTTAATTATTCAAAACTTGGGTATTTTGAGGTTTAATTTAATTTAATCTTAGCATACAAATTAGATACTCACTCAAGCTTTTCATTAATTTAGCACGAATAAATTATACAAATAAAAGTGTTATATTTGAGTTTTCATACTTTATATTCAAAAAAAAAGTATCATTCTAAAAATCATTAAAAACTATTGGAAGACCAAGAAGTTCTTCCAGGAGTATTTAATGAAAAAGATTTGGCTGATAGCTCTTTTGGAGAAGTGCTCTTCGAACAAGCAATCTAATAACGAGCAGAGCACAATGCTCAAATTAAATGCCAAATGGAATGAAAATAGTCAATTCTTTTCTTAGATGGAATGTGAAAAAAAAAGAATCAAAATATCAAATAATCTTTTTCATTACTTTAAAAAAGTATTTGTATGATCCAAAGATTTGCAAATTTTTTTTAATAATAAAAAAAAGAAAGAGACAAAGTAATAAGAATTTTAAAAAACCAAATACAATTCAAATGCATAAAAGCTCATTCCAATTATGTTTTCATGAAGGTTTATCAGCACTGCCATCATAGTGCTAATTCCTTCTGTATGCAAACTTCATCAGTAAACTGAAAGTACTAGCGACTCAGAGAGTGACAAAGAAGGTAACACTTCTCTATGCAAGTTGGCAGTATCTGATATAAGAATGCCAGAAAATGAAATTTTTATTTCTTTTCTATATAAAACATAGATCAAGTTCTTAAATTCTATTCTGAAATTAAGTCACATTAATCAACTTGGTGAGACATTTTACTTTTACATTTAATATGAAATTTTCACACCAGACTGAATTCAAGTGTAAAGTATCTTTGTTTACCAATTAACACTGTATCAATAATTCAAACAACAAATGAAAAAGAAAGAAAAAGGATCAAGTTTTGGAGCAGGATACTTTTTTGACATCTTAAAAACAATTATTTGGAAATGATTCCTTTCTCATTAAATAGAATTTTACTGAAGTGATAGTTAAGTCAGTAAATATAAGAAAATATGATAAGAATTTATAAAACAAATAAACCAAAAAAATTACATCACATAATCAATAAGAATGGAAATGTTAAAATATAAATTTCAACCAGTTCACTTGAACCCTTGAGTTCTTACTTTCAAAGCAAGAGATCTCATATTATTGAAAATAAATATTCTTATAACAAACAATGACATTAAATTAAAGGAGGAGCTCGAAGTGCCACTTTTTAAATAGTGAATATTTTTGCACCTAATTAAACCGAAGAATCAATTTGTAACATTGGATCATAAATAAGAAGATTATACATCAAATGGAATTCTCAGCAACTAATATAATGAAAATAAAGAATATAACAAATTTACAATGCATCCTGTTGTTTTTAATTGAAAGATATCTGAAGAAACATTATTGGTCTTCTCTTGAATAAAAACCTCAAGATTAAATATCTTTTAATGATATTTTTCCCTTGTAATGTCATGTACTATTATTACATTTATACGATATTTTAGCCCTTATTATGTAAAATACCCGAAGACAAAATTTAGCTACCTGTTCACAAATCAAAAATCTATTTATTCAAATGTAAGGAAATGACTTGGATAGTGCCCACATTGTATAATTGAGCATAATAGCAAGAAAAAGATTCTTTATAGTTGCTATTTCGTTAACGAATTATTATAGGTTTTATAATAATTATAAGATTCCTTGGTAGTATATCATATTTTTAAGAAAATATTGATAAAAATAAATATGGATATTTGATATTTATGTAGTTAAATTATTTTCGTGAATTCCGTAAAAAAACTCTATAATTAATTAATATATCTGTACTATATATTCCGTGATTACCAATTCCCAATTACTCTGCTCTGCTCTAGCATCATCATCTCTTGCAAAATGCATTTATATTCGCAAAAGTTTGATGCTACACCTTACTTTTTATCCACCAATTCATGCCTTGAAAACAGAGTCAAACCTCCATTAGAAAGTTTTAGTTTATTAACAATGAGATCCACTCAATAATTTCATTACTTATATCCAGCATTTTATAGTTGTATCCTTAACGTTTACTATAATTTTGATTTAATAAAAAAATATTGTTGGTAATAAAAATAAAAAAACTTTGATCTTACTTACTGACTGAATAAGATAAATGCATGATTTGATAATGAATTAGCTTAAAATTCAATGATAACTTATTCACCGCGTATGCTATGCATTCAATCAGTGGATAATTAATTGACAAATGTTATTTGATGCCGAATTTTATAAATACTCACTGCCTGCAATATAATATGTAATCAGATAATTGATTAATAAATATTATAGATTTGTTAGGTAACGAACGTGCTAGTGCTAGTCAATTTCAATAGTGTCAGTTAAACCCGATGGTGCTAGTCAAACGATTGCCACCTAATCATTTGCCTCCCAAAGAAATTGTAAAACATAAATTGTCACACGTTAATATGTACATTATGACAATCACTTTCGACAAAATATTCTAACCTTTAAAATCGTTGATCGGATCAGATCTTCCCATATAAAAGTTTATATGCAGGGATTATACATAATATTATCAGCTGTATTTGTTCTATAAAAAAATGAATAAAAATTAGTAATTTAATTTCAGAAACTAATAAAAAAAAAATAAAAATATTCAATATCGAATATTTCCATGTCTCAAGAAATAAAGTATCGTCCAGCAGTTCATTCTTCTGTGGATTTCGCTCGTTCTGGTTGCAGAAATTTCTTTAGTTCAGATGGAGGATGTGATTTGTGTACTACAGAATATTTATCCAAGAATTTAAGCTTGGACTATTGGAAATGTTAATATTGATTAGACCATACAAGAATCTCAATAAATGACATTAATAATAAGTTACAATGGATACTTTATAATAATTTTCAAAACATCGAACACATAGCAGATAGTGGCCATGGATCTGTGAATTCTGGCAAATTAGAAAATGTAATAAAATGGAATTGGGGATTTTAATACACTGGATTGGGAATATGTTTTAGTAAATCATAGAGTCGTCATGAAAGAAATCAATGATTCTAGATACGATACTGAATTTTTGAAAGTGGTATGTTTCTTTATATTTCGAATATAATTTATTTTGAACTGTTATTAATATTTCGTAAATTTTTTATTATTAAGATAAAGACTATTAATGATTATGACAATGAAAATATTGCTATTTATTATGGAATTTCAATAATCCTTCTATACAAAACTATCTTTTTGTTATGGATTTTATTTGATGAAGAATTGCGTAATTTTTTAACCAAATTTTTTTGAGATTTAACGTGAACAAAAAATACATATATTAGAATAAATAAAATGGGTCTTAGATGTTTACATCGAAAAATTTAATTCATTGGCGACCTTCATAGTGGAAATATTTTGATAAACCATCCTAACTCAGAATTAGGGATAGGTTTAGGAATAGATTTAGATTTAGGTAAATTAGAAAATGATTTAATTTAAACTCTAACAACAAAAATAACAAAACTAATGGATCAATTCCATATATTCCACCTGAGGTATTAAGAGAAAATGAATTTACAACCGACGGTGATTTATACAATTTTGGTGGAATTATGTATGAAATAATTACTGCACAACGACCATTTGTTGATCAAGCACATAATACTTATTTGATTATAGATATTTGTAATGGTGTAAGGCCAAAGGTCTCCGATTTTATGTTAAATTGGATTTCAGATTGATATTTAGACTTGATGTATCGATACTGGAGTGATGATCCTTATGAACGTCCAACTTGGTGATGTTAGGCGTAACTTAAAATTGCTGATGAAAATCAAAAAAGACAACAAAATCTCAAAAGCACGAATTGCTTGAATTATTTTTACATTTAAGTAAGTTACATCCACAATCATGTCATATTAGTCGAGATATTCATACTCTTCATGGATTGCATGATTTATTGGAAGAAATAAAAACGGAAATTATTCAAGTATATTCTTAGAGCAATTCTGATAATTTTGTCTTAATAAAATTTTTTGAATTTTAAATTTATAGATCCTAATTTATTATAAAGTCCAAAGAATCAACTATTTAATGTCCAATTCTTATGATTTTTGTTCTAAAAATTATTAAGAACTATTGATGAGGAATAGAAATTCAAAGTCAAATGGAAAATAAACATTCTCTAAATATTTCAACCTTGGATTTTATTTGATTCCCAATAATATAAAGAAAACATTAGTATAGATAACGATATTATTCTTATAAAGAATAAAAAAATTGAAAGATTTGGAATCAAATGTCAATATTATCATATTTAATTTTTAGTCTATTGTTATTTAATTTTATCATAGGAGTAAAGTTTCTTAAATATATTTTTCTATGGGAACTCGTTTATTATTAAAGGATATCTGTCTAATTTGTTTCTCTTAAAACTATTTTAGCGTGCATATATTTTTAAGGCTCGAATTTAGAATGCCTGAAAAATGTTATTATAGAAATGACTGTTAAAATTTATTTCTTCATTATTAGGTTTATCACGTGAAGCCCATATTTTTTATTTATTTTATTTTTTACTATTTTCTTTATTTTTTTTTTGTAATCTGAATTCGCTAATGCCTGCAATAGAAAACATATTGTTAACGGAATGAGAGATGCCTCTTCAAGGTAAGTTCTTATTTTTTTGACACCATAAGATGACAAAAAAAGAGAGCAAAATAAGATAAGTACATTCGATAAAATGTTCTGTTTTGTTTTGTTTTTATTTAGTACATTAAGGAAAATAGAAAAATAGACAAAATGAGGTATGTTATAATTTATTTATTGGATTTTCTCTCTAAGAAAGGGATTTTGATATAGCATACTTATACCTTATAGCTATTTTCTAATAACAAACTTGAAAAGACAAATTAGTCATAAATTCTGATGGTCTGTTCTATGTATTATTAATTAATAGGTATTTTTTTCAATTTTTTTTTATATATTTTTAAATAGCAAAGTATTTCTAATAATAATAATAATTCCAATAAAAACAAAAAAAAAATGCTTAAAAAAGGGTTAATAAAAAAATAAAAAAAAAGTTTATTAAACGACAAAATTTATTTTAATAGGTAAAATATCACACTTTTAAACCTTTTTTGATGTGATGAAAAAATTCTAAATGATTTTTCCAATCTCAGGTGGTTGTGGTGCCATTCTAAAATTTATGTTTTGGATATAAATTCAAAATAAAGTTGTTGTTGAAAAGAATATTTAAAGTTTATGAAGAAGAACTGTGGCAATAAATGGAAGCTGAAGCATAATTTAAATTGTTATAAAATCAAACGAAAAAAGAAAATTTCGAAAATTCTTTTGGAGTTGATACCAATATCATGAATGAAATGATCAAATACTGATGCAGAATTTAAAAAAAATGTAATTGAGACTGAAGAGATTGTTAAAACTTACTCGATCAACATTAGACGCGTCAACCATTAGATTATCAAGCTTTCACTAGACCTAACAAAAAAAAACGACGGTATTTGTCATCTTCCCGAAAGTAATTGTAATGACTTCAATTTGTGTCGAAACAAGCTGCTCAACGGAGATATTACTCAATCCGTAGAGGAAATAATGGATACTACTTTCATATTAAAAGATTGATTCTGTTGAGTCGGGGTTGATTTACAATTGGGCTTAGGTTTAAAGAAGTAAATTTAAATCTGTCATTTGCATTTTCCGTTTATTTTATTAATGTCAGTGAGCCATCTGAAGATTAGGTAACATTCTTTAAACCACGAAGGATATCAATTATATAACGACGTGATCATAATTTGATATGACATTAGAAATAGCGAAACGTTACTAGAGTTACAGTAATAATAATAGTAATAGTATTACTAATGGAATTTTCGGAGAGGAAATAGTGGATATTAATGAATATAAAACAATAATGGAAAGCCTATTATGGTGATCCATAATAAAGAGAATTACTAATTATTTATTTTGTGTAACAACTTTTTTACAATGATATACATAAGCCAATGATTTATGCAGCACAACAGATATTTGATTTTGCCATGTTTTCAAAAAGATCATCCAGCTGGTCATTCTTCTAATGGTTTTGGTTATCGTAATTTTAGAACACAAACGGACTTTATGCATTGTGCACCAAATATCATTTTATTAAAGAATTTAGAATTTGGTCTAGCGGTAATCCTAATATCGATAAGATTATTCAAGAAACTCAAATAAACGATTTTTTTAAACTACAATGGATACCTTATGATAAATTTCAAGATATCAAATAGTGGACATGGATCTGTGTGTTCTGCCGAATTAGAAAATGTAATAAAATGGTATTGGAGTTTTAATACACTGATTGGGAATGTGATTAAATTGGTATATTTTCTTTTCTTTTTTTATTTCGATTATAAATTATTATTTGATATTTTGTAATTTATTAATTAACTAATTTGTTTTTTTATTATAACGATCATTCTTCATTCTGAATGCATCATGGAACTTCAAAAAATCCGTCAACTCAGAATTGCATCATCGATATAGAATTGTTCGATGGTGACTTACATAAGTTTTTAACCGAAAGTTTTTGGTATCTAGGATGGGAAACAAAAATAGACATATTATCATCGATAGTTCAAGGTCTTCTAAACTTATATGAAGAAGATTTAGTTCATTGTAACCTTCATGGTGGAAACATTGATCGAAAATAATTTCAATTTTGGAAACTTTGACATTGCATCAATTATAGATTTAGATTTTATGTAAATTCGAAAATGATTTGATTTTAAGCTCTAATAACAAAAATAATATTATCTATTGATCAATACATACATTCCACCTGAAATAAATTTACAACCGACGGTGATTTATACAATTTTGATGGAATTATATATGAAATAATTACTGCACAACGACGATTTGCTGACCAATTTGATGATTGAGATCTGTAATGGTGTAAGACCCAAGATCCCCGATTTTATGTTAAATTGGTTTCCAGAATGGTATTTAAACTTGATGTATCGAAGCTGGAGTGATAATCCTTCTAAATATCCAACTGTCATTGAAATATATGATTTATTTTGTGAAATATTATATAAATTTAATAATATAGTGGATGATAATGTTATTTAACAACGTGAAAATTACTGATGAAAATTAAAAAATACATCAGAATCTCAAAAGCAAGAATTGCTTAAATTATTTTGTCGTTCAAATAAGTTACATTTGCGATCATGTTGCATTAGCAAATACATGATTTATTGGAAGACCTCAAATCTGGATGATCAACAGGTGATTTTTTATAATAATTTTCAATAATTTTTTTTTTATTTTAATAAGTAATTAATTATAAAATTTTAAATTATTTGAATTTTAAATTTATAGATCCTAATTTATTATTAGAGGCCAACGAATCATCTACTAACAGCTGATATTAATGGGGAACCAAAAATTCAAACAAACAGAAAAATTTCATTAAAACTTGGGTCGAGTTTTGATTTCCAGTAAATTTAAAGAATGGGTTAATTTGAATAAGAGAAAGTTAAAAAATAAAAAGAAATGGAAAAATCCGGTAAATTCAAATCAAATATTATTATTATTTTAATTAATTTTTTTAGTTTATTTTAATTTAATTTTTATTATCAGAGTTATTATTTTAAAGATAATTTATTTATTTATTTATTTTTTTTTTAAAAAAAAAATATATTTCGAATATTTAGACTCGTTCAAATTTAGCATACTTATCAGTTTATGTATATTTAATGCTTCAAATAAACGTTATAATATATTTATAAGGATTACTTTGCTGGAGTCTTTTTCTGCTCTATTACTTTAAATTATGCTTAAAGGTTAGCGAAATACAATTTCTTCCATTATTTTATCGTATATAAATTAATGTTTCTTTCATAGCATAACAGTATATCATGTGAAGCACATATATTTATTTATTTTTGTCCGGAGCATAGCTTAGGACACTTAACGGACGAGTAAAGTGATACCAAAATTACGTTCTGATGTACCAAAAGTTTTGGTCTTGATGCACTTATAACAAAAAAATAAGAAAATAATCGAAATGTAACTTGGGATAGGTCTGTCCGATTTTAGATAACGATTGATTGTTGCTGATAAAGAACACATGACAACAGTTTTTATATTTATTATTAAAATGAATTTGTTTATTTTTTTTCTTATTTTGAAATAATAACTTTGTCAAAGACGTTTTCAATTGATTTTTCACTATTCACACTTTGCAAATACAAAGAAACATTGATGTTTTTTCAAGAATAATATTTAGATTCTTTTTATACCTTCAGAATGTTATGACACAATTTTAACATTTTTATCAAAGTAAACTGCCTTTAAGCAACCAACTAATAAAATGATTCAGAAGGTATAAAATTATTTGGATCTTAATTTTCCCAAGCTGACTTATATATATATATTGAAAGATTATTTTTTCTTTAATTACAAATACTCATGAATTTTCTATACTTCCAGAACTTTGAAGCGTAATTTTTAATGTATTGGTCAAAGTAAACTACTTTTGTGAAACGAATTAAAACTGTTCAGAAGGTATAAAAGTAATTGAATATTTGTTTTCACTAAGCTGGCTTACAAACTGATTGAAAAATATATTATTCTTTAATTACAAATACTCACGAATTTTTTTACAGTTCCATTTTACATCCAGAACTTTGAGGCGTGATTTCAAAGAAAACTGCCTTTAGCGACTAATTAATACTGTTCAGAAGGTATGAAAGTAATTGAATATTTGTTTTCGCTAAGCTAGCTTACAAGCGGATTGAAAGATGAATTTTTCTTTAATTACAAATATTTGCGAATTTTTTTACAGTTTCATTTCACTTCTAAAACTTTGAGACGTAATTTTTAATACATTGGCCAAAGTAAACTGCCTTTGAGCAACTAATAAAACTGTTCAGAAGGTATAAAAGTAATTGAATATTTGTTTTCGCTAAGTTGGCTTTCAAACGGATTGAAATATAAATTTTTCTTTAATTACATATATTCACGATTTTTTTATACTTCCAGAACTTTGATACATTGGTCAAAGTAAACTGTCTTTGAATGACTAATTAAAATTGGTATCTTAATTTTGCTAAGCTGGTTTACAAATGGATTGAAAGACAAATGATTCTCTAATTACTAATTCGGTCATGATCGGCAGCATATGATATATTAAAATCAGATATATTATAATAACGTTACTAAATCATTTCATGACCCATAAGTATTATTTCAAAAAACTTGGTTATTTTAGTTACCATTGGCTCAATTGTGGAAGAATTACATTATGGGTCATATTCACGTTATTGGTGGGGACTTTCAAATAAATTCTGATCAAAAAAATATAACATATTTTCCTATTCGACTTGTTCAAAAAATATGTACGATTCTTAATGGACAATATTTTTAGTTACCATACAAACTAATGAAAAAAGCTGTTTAACTCCACAATATTTTTATGAGTGTAATAATGTCACTGATACTTCTTCAAGCTCTAGTGCTGCAATTTCAAGTGTATATAAAATTTTTTAAAAAACAACACGTTATTCAGGACCATCAGTTATGGGATGGAACAATAAAGAAATAATTCAAAAATTCTATGAAGGTTTTGAATGGATTCCATTTTCTTTTAGTGTGGGTATATATGAAATTTTTTGTTTATTCTATTGAAGTATCAACAAATTCTCTTTTGTTTCATGGCGGTGATAATTATAAAGTATTATTAGTTCATTTTTATAAACGAAGACAAGCAATTTTTGTTTCTAAAATAAAAAAAAATTGAACCATATCAAGATTCAAAACTTGCAAAAGTGTTTATAGGAACAACACCTGATGAGGTATGGAAAAAATCTGGATTTATACAAAAATTTAAAGGACGAGAACTTATTGGATTGTTAAATAAAAAAACACAAGAAATATTATGCAATTATAGAGTTCCAAGTTGTCTCATTCATGGATAAGATAACACAGATCTTATAGAAAAAACATTTGTTTATTATTTGAAACAAAGAACAGTTACATCTATTAATTATAAAGATTTTTTATTCATGTGGAAAAAAAATAGTACAATTATTGAAATTTATTCAGAATTAAAAAAATATTATTCAATAAATTATGAATTTAATGAACGCGAATGGTGTGCATGGCGTTCATTTCTTCAAGCTATTGGATATACAGATATTACTCCTTGGACTAAAGAAGAATCAAAGGTAAAAATCAATAAATATAATATTTTTTTTATAAAAAATAATAATTTTTTTTTTTTAAAAAAATTTTTTTAGTTTCAAATATGGACGCGAGAATCAGATTCAACAAATGACAAAGTAACATTAGAAAATTTGTATAAATTAGGATTTCTTGTTGAAATTTCAGTTTGTGCATCAAATACAACTCAAATTTTTTGGTCATGTTTTAATAATGCATTAACACAAAATAAAAAAAACTTATGATGGAAAACGTCGTATTTTATCTATTATTGCTGAAAATTTTACATATTCACAATTACAAGAAAATTTAGAAAAGTAAGTTTTGTAATATTTCTAATTTATTATAATATTCAATAAAATAAATAATTTTTTTATATAAAAGGTCAAACTCATACTATTTCAGAAGCAAGGAAACATGCTAGACTTAATGGTTGGGGTATGCCTTCTAGACTAAAATTTACATCAGAAAAATTAGAACAATTTGAAAAAATTTTTATGGACAAAGATATTGCAAATATGAGTTCATACAAAAGTGACAATAAAAGAGGTCTTCCTATTTTATACTTACAAGATCAAAAGCAAACATTACGGGAACGATTTCATGAATACTATTCAAATGATATTTATTAGACGTATGGCATTTATGACACATTTACAAGAAAGTAGATATATTTATAAAGATAATTTGGGAGGATTATGTTCAGAATGTAATGAATGTGGTTATGAAGTATTTGGAGAAATTACTATATTAATAAAAGCAAATATTAATAACGAAGTTATTTATGTAAGTTGATTTTTTAAATAACAATTATATTTTTTTGTGTTAAATAAGACTAACATATATATAATAAATAGAAAGAATTATTAGATAATTCTCAAACTTTACATTAATATATTAGACGGGATTTTTCTAAGCAACTTCAAGTTTCACCAATAGGAGAAGCACAACATAATTCATGCATAACTCATTGTTTACGTTATGCTTTGGTTCATGTAATCTTCCACATCCGGATACTTGTTCTAATTGTGAGTTGTTGTTTATATTTTTTGATAAAATAAAAAAATATTTGTCTTTAGAATTTCACGAACAATTAGATAATTATCAAAAAAAAACTAATCAAATAGATGGGACATCATGCAAGAAAAACTTATCTAAATAAGCAAGTACAAGTTAGTTTAGATGGATTAGATAATGATGGTGCGGTATCAATTATTGATTATAAAATGAAAATTATACCTCAAACAGTACAAGAAACAAAAAAAGATTGGTACGGAAAAGAGGACGAGCACTTCATACTGTATTAATTTATACTAAAGATTTCAATCTTAGTCAGTTAAACGTACAAGCATTTGATCGCTGGTCCAATAATACACGTCAAGATGTATAGTTCGCAGCATCTTCATTACATGCAACATTAGAAACATTAGAGAAAAACCAAGGTGGGTAACAATTCTTTCAGACAATAGTCCTCATTACCATTGTACTGAATTGATGATTATATTGGGACATAGGTATGAAGGGTATAAAGTTATACCACGAAAATGGATTTTTTTGAAGGTCAGTGAAGCCAAGACCTCGATTGACTCTCATCATGCACAAATAGGCCGAATTTAATCATATAAAGTATTATTTTATTGTATTCTAATTTTAATTTCAACAGATTTCACAAGCTATTAAATGATATATTAAATTGGGATCAAATATTGAGTCAGGTGATGATATTGAGGAAGCAATAAAAATATTGCCGGAACACATGTAGCTAATTTAATACCAAGTCAATCTAATGGTAAAATTTATTTATTATAATAATTTTTTATTGAATCTTTATTTATTATTTATTTATTTATTATAATAAAAATTTATTTATTTTTTTATCAAATTTTTATTTATTATAAGCAATTGTAAATTTCCTTTTAATTTCAATATAATAAAAATAAGTAATAACTATTATTGCTCAAATCTTGAAAAATAGCCAATAAAATCTTATCCAGTCAATATCGTAATTCTTGATTAGCAATGAATTGTAGTGCTACATACCTAATTAATAGTGTTAATAATAGAAATAAATAATAAATTAAAGGATTTATAAATTAAATTATAAAGTGAATTCCTTAACTTACTTAACTTGTTCATCAACATAAGGTTCAGCATTCCTCATTCTCCGAAATAACCCAACACGGCTTTTCTTCTTGACCACTTAAACAAGTGAGACAAAATAGTCATTTTCGAATAAAAGAAAAGGTATTATAGATCAGCATCACGAAGCCGTGCCGAAATGCTGCATAAATTTGCCCTAGCATCCGTAATTCATCCCATATTTGCATATCATTGAAAGATTTAACGCGGTCTAGTTAAAGTCTCCCATCTCATCTGTAAAAATTATATAAGATATAATTTTCAAATTTACCACCAAATGGTGATGATATGTGATGATACCTTTAAAGAATTCAATAGATCGAGTACGATTTGACAATTCGTTAATATATAATTCGTCTCTAAATTCGGTAAGGCGATTTTTTATCTCAGAATATCTCCTCCGAATAGTGAATTTCGTAAATAATATTTTCATTCATAAAACTAAAGTATAAACTATGCTCCACTTCCGAGATCTTGCCTGCTAATTATTTTTAAGTAATAATAATGTCCACAAAAGCGATTAGTCAGAAAAATATTTTAATTGTCGGGAGCATATTTTAAGATATTATGATTCTACGAATAATGAAAATTATAGATGTTATTCGATATTGTTATTTGCATATAATCGATTTTTTTTTTTTTTGCACGATCGCGATAAACGAAATAAGAAATGGCTACTCAAAAATTGAATGGAATGAAAAAATTAGAAGTCTTTGGAAAAAAATGTATATATTCTCTAACTACAGTAATGGATGCTGGGAAATAAAGAGTTTTGAAAATATAAATAAAAATAATTCATCTCTCGCTGAAAATGAAAAGGTTTTTTTACTTTATGAATTACAAAATCATATGATGCGCTAAAAATTAATTATAAAAGATGGGTGGGTGCTATACTAAATGGAATTCTGAAAGTCAAATATCGGAAAGATTTGGGACACAAAAGATTGTTTTGAAAAGATTGAATAGTTCAAATAGTAATAATTTATATTTAAAATATTATAGTAATAATGTATATTTAAAATATTATTTGAAATATTATTTGTAATATTATTCTTCTATATCAAATTGAACTCCACACCATATTCTTCAATAACTTTAAAATGTTCATTATTTAATGAAAATAGTCGCGCTTGTTCTGAACGTTTTACAATAATCTTTTTGTTTCCTCTTCTTCCTTTGCAACACCACCCTTCAAAAAATTTTCTTAAACTATCAGCACTAAATATCCCCATTCTAATTTTAATAGTCTCAAGTGATTCTGGCACATTTTTACCCATTTTGTATAATAATTCATTAGCATCAATTTCTTCTTCTCGATAGCCAAATGAAAATATTTTTAGTTCATTAAAATTATTATTAAAAATTGTGATTACTTGTTCGAGACTTAAATTATATAAAGTTAATTCGGTAATCTTTGTACAATAATTTAAAATTGCTGAAAATATTTTAATTGTAATTGCGGAATATAAATCCAAGCAAATATTTTTTAAATTTGCATTGGCTGTTTCGAGAATTTTTATAATAAATTCTTGATGATGCGCATCATCCGAATATCTCGAATAAAAATAATGAAAACTACTTAATTGAGTAAATGATGAAGCCAAGAATAAACAATTCGAGCTACGTAATCCATAACAATTAACGATATGAAGCTCTTGAAGTGATATAAATTGTCCAATTGGTGCTGATTTCCGCTCGAATTGATAAAAGTTTACTGATCTTAAACGAAGACTCTTTAATTTTTCCTTTTGACTAATGATAGCCCATAATAATGAATTACAATCTAGATTAAGATAAGAAACAATTGATAGATTTTTTAAACGTTTTTGAGCACTAATAAGTTTCGCAAATAATTGCGCTTGAGAATATGAGAACAAAGTCGAATCCATGTTTAAAATATTATCGCAAATTAATGCCAATGAATCATATAATGGACGAATAAGTTCGTAATCTCCTATAGTCGAAGTAAAACTTTCTAATTTCTTAAATGCTTTCGGAGCACTAGGTAACTTGAAAATTGAACCAATTGAATCACTATAGTTTTGAAAATCATGAAAAAAAAATATGGTTCCAGTCATCTCAAAAGAATCCAAAAATATACAACGTTCTATTATTAATTTACACATCTCACGAAATAATATTCTCGGATTACTATCTTGATAAGGACCAATAAAATTTCGTGAATAGATAGAAATAAAATAAGCTAAATTATTAATTATAAATTTATGAGTGAACGACGGATAATCAAAAGTGGCTTGAGGTGGTGATGATGATAAATCAAATCCTTTCTGAATAAGTAAATTTCTAGCTTGAGTATCCATACATGATATATAAGTTCGAATACATAATGCTTTCGTATAATTTATACATTCTTGACCGAAAGGTAATTCCCAAAGTATTGGTATAGCAACTTTACACCAGATTCGATTAACTAATAATGATGAATATAAATCTTGAGTTGATTGAACATTATTTAAAATCATAATCAATATTTCTGTGGAAATTTTTATTGTCATCTTTTTTTCAAAAAAAAAAAATTAATTATATCACGTTTAAATAATATTTGTCTCTGTGTGTGACTACGGTGTAATGGTTACCAAAATAATAATCAGCAAATTGAAATCCTCAATTGTAAAATACCCATTACGTCACCCTTCAAAAATTTCTCAGACAGGTTGCACCCTCAAATGACCTTATCACATGATGGTTTTACTATAAACTTCATATACAAATTTGAAATTTGCAATTTATTTTAATGTTTTAACGTATTACCTTATACTTTTACATGAGGTAGAATTTTTTTCTGTTTTTGATGTTTTATTAGCATGAATATCAAGACCCTGTCACTTTTTGCTCTGGACTGGTGAATTTTTTATTTTTTGTGTTGCGTTAAGCCACTTTGACGATCACAATTTCGTTTTTTGTAAAAGCCCCTTTTATAAAATTGTCAAAAATGTATGATGATTTTGGATTTTCGTGCTGTTATTTATTTTTTTTATTATGTTTAATTTTGAAAGTACTAAATAACTTCCAGAATGCGGATATGAAATTTTTAAATGAAGTAAAAATCGAATCTGCTGAAATATGCATTTCAGTTCAAGAGAGAGAGGAGACTCAAAGCTATGCATTTATTTTAGAATATAGAACCTACATCATTATATATAAAAAGCTTCGTAGAATCTACATGAGAAAAAAATATTTTGATAATATTATTGGCAGAATTACAAATTTCAGGTTGAGAAACAAATTGAAATGGCCGATATTAAAGTAATAATACAGTATATAGGAATAATTACTTATAAATAGAAATATTCATCAATAGGTTCAATATTATTTTTAAAGTGGTTATATAACTTTGTTTTGATGCAAATTTGCAATTATGTTGAAGTGTTATTTCTTTAAAGAAAAAAAAAAAATACAAATAATTATAATTATTATTCTTTACTGTGATTGTTTGAGTGAAGAAAAGGGTCATGATATTTATGAAATATTAACGCATAGCACGCATAGCACAGATCTATTAAATTTTAATTCAATTCCTTAATACATTACTAAAAAATATGTATTTATCAATTTTTCATTTCTTTTATTTTGTTATTTCCATTTCTGCTCGCTTGGTTTGCTCACAAATAACAATCAATAATATTTTTTTTTTCATAAAAAACAATTATTTAATTTTCTTTTTGTTTAACAAACTTATTGGCTTTATAGTTTAATAATTCTTAATTTGAATAACAATTCATCACGCATTTTATGTATGGCCGGGTATATGAAACTTCATTTTATTAAATTTCGCCGCCTGTTATTATCAAACTCCTAAAAAAAAATCATTCAAAATTTTCTAATTATAAATACTCTAAATACTGTAAAGAATGAAAATTTTACTTTATATCGGGAGAGGGCTCAATCAAAGGTAACGAAAATTTCATATTTAGATCCGTGGGTCTTGTTTTAGACTATATATCAAGAAGTAATTTTTGAAAATAAGAAAAATGTACATCGTCTAGCGGTTCCATGATGGTTATAAGTATTGTCGTTCCGATGATGTTCTAAATATAAATATTACTAATCTCCATTATTTTAAATCAAATTTCTAATCTATTATTTTTTAATAAAATATTTTTAATTAATTTTAACGTTAAAATAGTTTGATTAATTAAACGAAAAATCAACTTAATAAATTTAAAAATTTAAAGATTTAAGCTATAAAATAATAAAATAATATAAAGTTTATTACTTAACAAATTTTTTGTATTCAACTTAAAAAAATAATAAATGTTACAATGAAACAAATAACTTAACATGCGAATACTATAACTAAATATATTTCTGATTCGTCTTATATTTGAAATATTAATATTATTCTTTTATATCAATTTGAACTCCATATTTTTCAATAACTTTAAATTGTTCATCACTTAATTTAAACAGTCGCGCTTGTTCTGTACGTTTTAAAATAATCTTTTTATTTCCTCCTCTTCCTTTACAACACCACCCTTCAACAAATTTTCTTAAACTATCAGCAGCAAATCTTCCCATTCTAATTTCAATAATTTCAAGTGATTCTGGTACATTTTCGGCCATTTGACATAACAATTTATTAGCATCAAATCTTTTTTCACAATCAAATGAAAAATTTCTTAATTCATTAAAATTATTATTAAATATCGCTATTACTTGTTCAGGAAACAAATAATGAACAGTTAATTTGGTAATCTTTGTACAATAATTTAAAATTGCTGAAAATATATCAAAGTTAATTGTGCAATATAATTCTATGCGAATATTTTTTAAATTTGTATTAGCAGTTTCGAGAATTTTTATAATAAATTTTTGAGGATACCAATTATCTACATGATTCGAATGAAAACAATGAAAACTACTTAATTGAGTAAATGACGAAGCAAAGAATAAACTATTCGATTTATGCAGCCCATTACAATTTTCAATATAAAGCTCTTGAAGTGAAATAAATTGTCCAATTGGTGATGATTTACACTCGAAATGATAAAAATTTACTGAACATAATCTAAGTCTCTTCAATGTTTCATTTTGACTAATGATAGCCCATAATAATGAATTACAATCTAGACTATAATTATAATTAGGATCAACAACAATTGATAGATTTTCTAACCGTATTTGAACACTAATAAGTTTTGCTAATAATTGCGCTTGCGCTTGAGAACAATTCAATACCAAATCCATATTTAAAATATTATCACAAATTAATGTTAATGATTCATATAATGATCCAATCTGATTATCATGTATTCCTATTGTCAAAGTAAAACTTTCTAGTTTCTTAAATACTTTCAGAGCACCAGGTAACTTGAGAATCGAACCAATTAATTCACTATAATTTAGGAAAACTTCAGAAAAATTTAAGGGAACTCTCTTTAATTTAAAATAATCCAAAAATGTACAACAATTTATTATTAATTTAAATATCTCATTAAATAATATTCTCTCATCATCTACTCGATAATCAATAATCTTTCGTAAATATGTGGAAATGAAATAAACTAAATTATTAATTATAAATTTATGAGTAAATGATGGATAATCAAAAGTGGTTTGAGTTGGTGATGATGATAAATCAAATCCTTTTTGAATAAGTAAATTTCTAGCTCGAGTATCCATACATGATATATAAGTTCGAATGCATAATGCTTTCTTTATCAACTTCTTAGAACCCATATAACATTCTTGACCAAAAGGTATTTCCCAAAGTATGGGTATAGTAGCTTTACACCAAATTCGATTGACTAATAATGAAGAATGCAAATCTTGAGATGATTGAACACTATTCAGAATCATAATCAAAATTTCTGTAGAAATTTTATTTGCCATTGAAGAATTAAGAAATAAAAAAAAACAATCATATCACTTTTATTAATGATGATGTTACTAAAAAAAGTAATCAAAAATGCACAACATAGTCATAGAAATTGGTAAATATTTATTAAATATTATTGTTTCACATCAAATTAATCCATATTCTTCAATGACTTTAAAATGTTCACTCCTTAGTGCTACAAATTTTATGGCGTCAATGAACGAACTTTTTGTCGTAATCTCCGAAGTTTCATTTTTACAATGTTACCCTTAAAAAGATTTTGGTAGAATCTGAAATCAATGAAAATCTTTTTAATTTATTTCATTTTCGTGGTGTAACGTAATGCCTTATACTTTTACGGCATACCAAATTTATTTAGTATGAATATCAAGATCGTGCAATAATTTTAAATTATGCAACTTAAAGCATCCGACTTTTTGCTCCGAACCTACAACTGTTCCAATTTCCTAACTATTTATTTATTTATTTTTCAAAACAGGGGCGTTTTTTAAGGAAAATCGCAAGTTTCGAAATCGTAAATGATTTTTGAATATTGAATTTGTTCCTTTGAGAATCTCTATTTCTTTTTTTTAAAAAAAATTATTTGATGATTTTTAGATTTCTTGCTACAGTTTATGTTCAGAACCTCTTAAAATCTAAAAACATGCAATTATGAAATTTATAATCGTAGGTTGATAGTAAATATTTAATTTTCTACTTACATAAATAAATTAATCTTGCTTGATTGAAACACCTGCAACACAGAACGTATTGTAAGGATAATGATTAGCAATATAAAGACCTTATTAACTTTATTAACTTAACTTACAGACATAATAAAAATTTCATTTAAAAAACATAAGTACAGTGTGGAACCTCTATACACTCATCGGGTACCCGATATATATATAAAATATTTTCTATACCTATCGGGTACCCTATATATGCCTGATATTAGGGACACCATGCACATATCAGGTACCCAATATGTGTATGTTTTATCAATTTTCGACCAGTGTAGCTCAGGAGTTGAATTAATGATCAAATGCAAATATGGAAAGCATATTTATGAAATTAGAAAATGCATACTAAATATAAGTATGGCCTTAAAGAAAAAGAACAAAACTAAAATTATGGCAATATATAATCCTTTGAGTGTCAACCAAACAAAAAAGAACTCATGTGACTAAGTGAAATTGAACAATTTACAAATAATGAAAACACTATACAATAATAATAGGAGATTCAATCTTCAGGTGATGTGATCCACAATGAATCAAATAAAAGGAGAAAATGTTTAGCATAACTAATCAGTATGTCTAGGACACAACTACATTAGATATTAAAGAATAATTATAAATATCATAGGCCATACTATATATATTTCTCAAATAAAAGATGAATATAGAGAAAAAACTACATGATTATCTCTTTAAACTCTGAAGATGTTTTTTTAAAAAATGAAAAGAATAATATAATGAAGCTCATGAATGGAATCAAGTGTAAGATGTTCCTCATGTTTCACCTGAGGTTCAGATTCACATAAAGCAAAAAATGTGGTGTCATTAAATGCCATGGACAAATGACATCAAATTAAGTAGAAAAATTGTAGCAATTTTGTAATTAATACAATAGGTACAAACTAACTATTACTCTAGTTTAGTTAGACCTGCAATCAACCAAGTCAGTAAGCAGGCATCTGAAGAATGTGATGGTAAATGAAAAAAATTTGAGCATTAGATCAAGGTAGACAATACATGTGAAATCTAGATAAAATATATATATATATAAATCAGTACAACGGATAACATCAATAATTGAAAGTTAAGCACAATTGAAGAAAAAATAAAAATTATAATATGATAGTAGAAAAAGACATATAGAGTTGAATTTTCTAATGATGAGTCATTACATCAGTAATTACTTTTGAGTTGTTGTCTTTGTCCGTACTTGGTTTTTATTTAACAGTATAGTATTGTGATGGTGTAAATTGTAAATCATGTGAGATAATAAATTGTAATACTAGGATGATTGTACAATTATCTGAGATGATAATTTGTATAGCCATCTGAAAGATAACAAACAAGGATGAAAAATAATGCACAAGGATAAAGGAAAATGTACAAAGATGAGGGATGACACACAAAAGATAAAGGACGAAGTACAAAGAATAACAGGTAAATGTGAATGAAAGTAAAAAGTATAAAAGAATTACATGTTAGAGACAAGAAATAGTAGTTCTAAAAATTTTTGAATAGTATCAAATATTAACCATGTACAAGATAAAATGGTAAAAAAATGAGTTGACAATTTTGTCTCAACAATTTCCAATCCTTTATGCAGTGAAAATTTAGCAGATCGTCCATATACAAGATAAAATAGTTCAATTTTGTTGTCAATTGGTGAGTAGTTCTATATACAAAAAGAACTAAAGGTATATTTTTATTCCAATAGGTTGTAACTTCTGATATTTTTATCAAAGAATTATCTAATGTTTGATTAAATTACTCAGTTAGACCATTTGTTTCTGGGTGATATGGTGTAGAATGTATATACTTAATTTCAAATTGGGCAAGAGATCATTAATTATTTGATTTCAGAAATGAGATCCTCAATCAGATAAAATAACTTTTGGATATCCATGTCAACAAATAATTTCATCATATATAAAATTGACAACCCAAAGAGCAGTTGCATCAGGAACAGCTCAGGCTTTAAACCATTTTGTTAAATAATCAACAGCAAAAATAATATATTTATTTTCTCAAGGGATATGAGATAAATGTCCAACAAAATCAATTTCAACTTTTTTAAAGAGGCCTTCTGCAGGAATAGACTATAAAGGTTGAGGGTTTCATTTTCATCCTCGTTGTTAATATACTTTACATACTCAGATATAGTCCTTTATGTTGTTATACATTTGTGGCCAATAATATAAGTTACGAACTTTATTAAAAACTATTTCAGCTCTTAAATGTTCTCTTAAGGGGTGATTATGTAATATTAACAGAACAGGTTCAATTTCATGTTCCTATAACACAGATTAATTATTCATGAGTCTTTTTTCATCTGTTAATTTTGAATAATAAATTGTTTTCAACTTTATAAATCTACTTTTAGATTTTATTCAATTTCAATCCTTAATTTTACTTAGTAGAGTTTGGTTTGTTAAATATTGTTTGAGTTGTTGATATTCAAGAAGAGCCATTTTGTCAGGACACCAACAACCTGAACTGGATTGTGTTTATCATCAAATTAAGTACTTTGTTACTTTTACTTTGTATAATTAATTATTATTGATAATATGGATATAGTTTATCGAGGTATATGAGAGAGAGCATTAACATTATTGTGTTTTCATTCATCATGATAAATAATAGTATAATTATAAAGTTCAAGTTTTAAAATCCATCTTGCTCATCGTCCTGTTAATTCTATTGAATGTAACTATTGAAGTGCAAAGTGGTCAGTTACCATATAGAAATGGTCAGTGCCAAAATAATGTCAAAAGTATTTGATAGTCCACATAACAGCTAGGCATTTCAAATTAGTAGCAGAATAATTTTGATCAGCCTTATTTAAGCTACAACTTGCATAAGTAATGGCATATTCCCATTTGTTTGGCTCATTCTTTGTGCAAAGACAGCTCCTAATCCAAATGACAATGCATCAGTATGCAAGTAAAATGGTTTATTAAAATTTGAATGTTGTAAGATTGGTATAGTGATTAAATATTGTTTCAATAAGTCAAAAGCCTTTTATTGTTCAGCAGACTAAATAAAGGATTCATCCTTTTAAGCAATTGATTTAGAGATTTGGCAATGTCAGAGAATTGATTGATAAATTTTTGATAATAGAAAGCATGGCCAATAAATTCTCTTAGTGTATGAAAATTTGTAGGGATACAGTGCATACAACTTAGTCCTGGCAAATAAGTTTTTAGGCGGCCAAATTTTACTTGTAGATCTTTCATCACATGAGCCAGAAATTTTGTAATATTATTGGCTTGCATTCGTCCACATGACATGCTGATGTGGAGAAAGGATCAGGTTTATTAAAAATCATAAAAAAAAAAAAAAAAACTTCGATTTTATTTTTTTAAAAATTTTTAATAAAATAATTTTGCAATTTTCAAAGATTTTTTTTTTAAAATGATTAGTGAAAGCGTGTGAAGGAAAAGCTGCATATCGTTTTAAACGTACCATTAATGGCATAGATCATGATAATATTGATGAATTAGAAAGCCCCAATATTGATGAATTAAAAGGTCCCAATATCAATAATTCTTTCAATGATTGCTATGATTGACCAACGGAAAATAATAATGCTGTAAATATTGTAACAAGACTTCAAGAAGCAGCAAAAAAATATCACGAAGAACATGCTTCTTACAAAGTACGTAAATCCCTTTACATAGGAAACTCAAGCCGTACTACAAGAAGAAAGAATCAGCAACAGCATGAAGTAGCAAAGAGAACTTTTGTATTGCATACCTTTTGGAATACTAAAGAATCTACTGAGGAAATTAATAATGATAATGATGACCTGTTGGGTGATGAAATCAAGGATTGTAATTGGAATAATGAAATCTCAACTGTTCTTAAAAATCTGAAGTTAGATATTAAAAAAGAAAAAATAAAAAGTGAAGTTTGGATACGTCTAAATGGAATCTGAATTTATATCCAACTTGTAAAATGCAACTATTTAAAAATAGATGCAAGTAAAGTTGTTGCCAATACACAGGAAAAGGAGTATATTCTCGCTGTGGGCATCATGCTAAAATATCGAGTTTTCTTTGGAATGAGGATATTCTTCTTCAAGTTAAATCATATATTCGGGAGCATAAATGGAATGTTACTCCACAGATACTGATGATACAGATAAATGAAGTTATTTTACCAGGACTTGAATTTGCGTCATCTCCAACAATCCATATCAATACTGCAAGAAATTATTTGAAGAAGCTTGGATATTATTATGAAAAGGTAAAGAAAGGAACATATATGGATGGACATGAGAGAGAAGATGTAGTTGCCTATCAAAAAATATTTTTAGAACAAATGAGTAAATTTGAATATAGAATGCCTATTTTTTCAGGAGACAATTTGGAGAAATAACCTGCCAAATAATAATATACAACCACTTATTCTTGTTACACATGATGAATGCATTTTCTCAGCTTATGATGGAAGTCGAAGTCTTTGGATTCCAAATGGAGAACAACCATTGTGAAAAAAAGGTAATGGCCGTTCGATTTATGTTAGTGATTTTTTAACTGAAGTTTGTGGACGCCTTGCATTTTCTGAAAAGATGCAGATATCAAATAATATATCCAGAGAAGCCTGTATTATTATGCATCCAGGTAAAAATAATGATGAATGGTGAAAGACCGATGACTTAATAAATCAAATAGTTAAATGTGTAATTCCTATATTCGAAGCACGTTTTCCAGGGTGCCAGGTCTTGTTTGCATTTGATAATGCATCAAGTCATTCTTCTTATTCACTGGATACATTTATTGCTAAATATATGAATCTCAGTTCCAGGAGAAAATAGCCAAAAATACGTAGAACATATTTTGGTGAAGAAATTCCACAAGATATGAACTTTCTATTAAATTACCATATTCCTGAATTATGTGAACAGTTGAAAGGATTAAAGCAAGTTCTAACAGAAAGGGGATTGCAACCAGATAAGGAATTAAAATTAGAAGAAGCACGAAAAATAATGAGTAATCAACCAGATTTTTTAATGCAAAAGGGATGGTTAGAAGAAGTTATTGTAGCAGCTGGACATCAAATTATATTTTATCCTAAGTTCCATTGTGAGCTCAACTTCATTGAAAACTTTGGGGTGCAGCTAAGAAGTTTAGTTGGTCACATTGTGATTATTCGTGAACAGGATTACAAAGAACAGTTCCATTAGCTCTTGCTTCTGTTCCACTTATAACTATTCGTCGGTATGCAAGAAAGACATTTCAATATATGGATGTGTATCGAAAAAGTTTAACAGGGCAGTGTTACAGAATGAAAATATAATGATAAAATAATATTAAAAACACCTGTAATAATTTATAATGACTCTTAAAATAATATTTAGAATTTAATATTAGTTCATATAACAAATAGTAACAATTTAATAATTACTTTTAGCAAATATTTATAGCCTGTAGCACACATTAATTAGTCGCGAAGTAGTAGTACAAGATCACGTGTGACGTGATATTTAGTTACACAAATATAACTATCAATTCATAACATTAACAATAATTATTAACTTATAGTATTAATTAGTAACAAATATATTTAGTAAACAATAGTAACCAATAATAATAGTGCACAGTAAGGCACAGTAA